CCACCTGAGCCCCAACTTCCTTTTTACTACATCAGAGTCCTGGCCTTTGGCCCAGCCCAGCCCTGCTCTGGAGCACAGGGCTGCCCTCCAAAACTCAGTAACTCTCAACCTGGTTTCTCTCTTGGACATGTCCTGTTTATCCTCCCATCCTGTGTCCTATGCATTAGGCGCTCTGAGCTGTCTTTGGAGGAGGGCATCAGTCCATCTTTAAGGAGCTCCAAAAATCACTAGGTGCTGAGTAAATACTAATGACACTATTGTCGAGAAGACAAAAGTTTGATCGAGAAACTCCGCTCCTTTCCTTTAACATCTTACTTGATTGTATTTCAAGAGCATTAGTTTTAAAGTCCCTAGCCTATTGCCATTGCTAACTTGCCCTATAAAAGAACATATAATTGGCTCAGGGTAATGAAGAACTATTTAAGTAAAATCCAGGGACATTTTTCTTAATAGGACTAGTGGGAAAATCCCTGGATATTTTCAAATACCACTTTGGAAAAGTAGAGTCAACCAAACTATGTTGTGTATTGATCGCGTCTAGGGCTGAATCTAATATTTTGTGAGACCTATCTCCTGTTTTATCTAAAACAGATTCGATCATTTTCCAAATTCAATAATTCTCTGACTCCAGGAAATTCTACTCATCAGATAGCATGACTACATCCCTCAGTATTCTGCCAAAGTAGTAAGATCATAGTTACATCAAATAAATGTGAAATATGTCACATGCCCTTCAGGAGGAATGCGGAGGCTCCCAGGAGACATTGACGTGATGAGGAGGCAGGCCTGGTGCAAGGGCACAGGAGCCAGGCACACAATCAGAGCTCTGCGTTCCCTCCCCAGCAGTTCCTGGAATTGGACTCCTGAGAAACTGTTATAAGGGTGATCAACCTTAAGTTCTCAAATAGCTAAGTAACTGGCCAATTATTTGTAGGTCACATCAAAGTGATAGCATCTTTATAGAAATGTGGCCCTGAGCCTAAAACTTCACAGTCATGTCACAGGTGGGGCCGGGGCCCATACGCCCCCCCCCCCCCCCCCCCCCT